GCTATGGCATAATATAATTATAAAAAAACATAAATAAATAGCAAAAAATGCAATAGTAGAATTTGGACGAAATTTAGGATATCTTCAGGATACTCTAGTTATCTGGGAAATATATTTTATTTCATTTTGTTCTTAAAGATAAACAATTATATTTTGGAACATTTAATTCGGAAGGCTGTTTACATTTTGTCTGTTGCTTAGAGATTTTAATGCTTTAAAAGCAACATTCTAATAAGGTTTACATAACAATATTTATTTGCTTATCTGAAAGCCACATTATTAACACAGTGGGCTAAATGGTCAGGTCAGAAACTCCTGTGTTTCAGACATAGACATCATTGTTTTTGATGGTTAACTTGCTGAATTGTGAAGCGAAACTTCGTTGTCCGCATCCCATTGACGCAAAAAACATGCTTCCCACTTTTGGCCAAATCCCACCAGAGTAAGGAAAGTGTTGACTGTGAGTTCTTTTGATTAGCTGTCTTTCCTCTAGTATATCAGTTTATAATAATGAATGGCTATCACAGATAGTCCTTGAGTAGCTTTTCGCGAATATATGAAACAAACCAACCCTAATTTTGGACTTCTAGCTAGCAGCATACTGAAGCAGCTATTATTAACCGAAACGTTGCACTAACTATTACTGTTGTAACGTACCCGCAAGTGGAAGTGCGAAGCTTGTTTTGGTTGCACTACATCTCGATCCCAAGATCCTCGTATCCCATTACAATATGTTAACCGCAAGGTCATATATTATTGTCATCCTTATATTTTACTTTAAGATCTCTAGAATAACAGGAAAACATCAAAACTTACATTTTGTGAAAGATCTGATGATTATATTTTCATATAAAACTTACATTTTGTGAAAGATCTGATGATTATATTTTCATATAAAACTTACATTTTGTGAACGATCTGATGATTATATTTTCATATAAAACTTACATTTTGTGAACGATCTGATGATTATATTTTCATATAAAACTTACATTTTGTGACAGATCTAATGATTATATTTTCATATAAAACTTACATTTTGTGAAAGATCTAATGATTATATTTTCATATAAAACTTACATTTTGTGAAAGATCTGATGATCATATTTTCATATAAAACTTACATTTTGTGAACGATCTGATGATTATATTTTCATATAGTGTTGAAATATTTTATTTTTCAAGTGGGATTTGTTTTTTGTTTGTTGTTTTTTTTTGCCTTCTCCTGGTTTCTTGGCGATTTGATATATTTTTAATATTCATAATTATTTTTCAAAACATTTTGTTTATTTCTAATACTCTCTTGACTTTTAACTATCTGCGTTTAGTGTTACATTTTACATTGTATTTGAAATATATCAGTTTTTAGGTTTATTTTATTCACGTTTCCTAATTTTGTAATTAAGGCCTATGGTAAAAGGTTCATCTACAAATGTATAAATTAATATAAGTTATTTTTTCATCATAACAGCTTCGTGTCTAGTTTATTTGAATTAGACAATAAGAGTTTCTTATATAACAACTATGTGGTCATAAAATTCAGTACGGAATGTGAAATAGATTCTTGCCCAAACTGTGTATGTCTGCGGATTTACAACGCTATTTACTGGATTTCGATACCCGTGGTGGGCAGAGCTCAGATAGCCCATTGGGTAGCTTTGTGCTTACTTACAAAGAAACAAGCAAACTGTGTACATTCCACATACATTGCTTTCTAAAAATGACAGTGAGACGCCAATTTCTATTACGTGCAAATCAGGGCGGAATATAAATACAGGATGGAACGGAAAATTGTTATTCCATCGTTAGCAGTGGTGGTAGGCATAATACAATATTACAAGTGGAACAACATATCATTTTGAGCTGTTCTATCTAATTGACCTCAATAATGAGGCTATACTCCCAATGCAAGTCAACACAGCTTTTGATACCAAAAAAAGATAGGGATTTTAGCAACTTCAGTATTTCAGGCAGCATGTTCAGTCGCTAAAGGTACTTTTACCATGAATCCCGAACAACTTTACTCAGGCGTACACGACATACGTTGTACTTAATGAACAACTGGCAATTTAGCAACTTAGGAATAGATATGGCCTCTTATTCTCTTCACAGCGATGTGCGTATTCGTAATGATGTCACGCCGGTCAAAGAAAGTCCACGGGCCACAACAGAACAATACTTGCATTCCCTAAAGGTCACTTGTGGTGCTGTTTCACAACTGACTTTATCCATTCTCCTTTTATTAACGATCACCCCAATCCTTGCTGACGTACACAGTCTGGACAACATTCTCAAGTGTTGATGCATGCTCGTGCTATACCTGAAACCTAACACCCGGGTTGCGTCCACCATGTCACCTTCATGTAGAAAGATGTCTGCTCCGAATCAAAGGCCACTTCCACCACACATGACCAACAAACATTAATGTCCTTTTTCTATATGTCTACTGACAGATTTTTATAGATATAGATATCTACTACTCACACCACACCTGACCAACAAACATCAATGTCCTTTTTCTTGATGTCTACGGACAAGAAATGTAGATCACTACTACTCAACAACCATACCTCAACCAAGATGGCAATCATGGGAAAACCTTACATAATCTGATTTCTATAGCACATGTTTCGTTCTACAGACTGTTCCAAATACCTTACTGAGAATA